AGGGTAAATTTTTCGAAATTGAGATTTATACATCATCTGAAAGCTTTCCATTGATGTATGGTTTGTTAGGATGGGACAATATTTGGCTGAGATACAACTATTTGAAAATCTGAAATCTGAGGGTGCAAAAAACTCTAAATATTGAGAAAATTGCCTTTAAAGTTGTCCAAATGAAGTTCTTAGCAATGCATATTACTAAACAAAAGGTTTTAATATATTTACAGTAGGAAATCTACAAAAAAATTTAATGGAACATAATCGTTACTGTATAAAAAGAAAAATCAATAATGTTGCCCCATACAATGTATTTTTGGCTATTGCTACAAATATACCCAAGCGACTTAACACTGCTTTTGTGCTCCAGGGTCACATATGCTTTGTGGCACTTTAGCGCTTATTTTTTAATCTCTTAAAGGGGTCATCGCATGCTCATTTTGCACAAGTTGATATGATTCTTTAGGGTCTTAATTAAAAGTCTATAACATACTTTGGTTAAAATTTCTCATTGTAAGTGTAAAAAACACCTTTTTAAACCTGTCACAATCAGCTCTGTTTTTATCAAGCCATTATAGTCCATGTTGCTTTAAATGTTAATGAGCTCTGCTGGCCCCGCCCCTCCCTTTCGAGCTGCTCTCAGAGAGACCGTTTACTTTTAGCCGCATTCATCGTGAAACTTTCTAATTAGTGCATTATTAGGAAAGGTGATTTGCAAAGATTCATACCTTCATACTCACTTCTGTAGATGAGGCTGGATCACGAATGATTCGAGCAAACATATATGCATTTAGGCTGATCGGGAGTGGCGCAATCACTTCTAAGCGAAAGTAACGTTAATCCTCTGCGTCTTCAGCAGCTCAGATGTCGGGAGTAAATGACGATTGCTATATTCATTATTACATCCAACAATAAAGCACCTCAATCGCTTAATCGGAGACAACTTGTCTTCCCCTGCACCACAGTCAACACAATGACGGACAGATGACAGCTCACTCAAGGTGGGTCTAAGGCAAGACACCAGTCCAGTCTGTGCTGAAACACTACTGTCAATCAACTATCGTGGCAGGGGCCTGTACAGAACTACGTCATTCTGACAGGAATCTCAGAACAGCCTGGTTTGAGAAAGGGGATTTTAAAATAGGGTTTTAAAAAAAAAACATTGGATGGATTTTTATAATTATAGGATGGATGTGTACACACACTTCCAACATACGTTTATGTTCAAACAACTTGAAAAGTGAATTTTGTATCCGATGACCCCTTTAAATTATGAGTAGCGTGGCAAACTACAGTTTTAAAGTAGCTTCCCAACATTGGCATTTCTGAAAAGTGTGAGTACTGGAGCCTTATGTCATCAGAGCTTTCCTTGAGATATAATTACCTTTGCTGGACTCATCATCAAGACACCCAGGGGCTGATGGGACAAAACTATTAGAGGATTGCTGCCCACAAAACCACTTCCTTCTCTTCTTCCCTTTTCTTTTTTCCACTACTTCTAGCTCTTTTCATCAGGAAACTGGAGATATGCGTGAATGATCTTTCTGTCTCTTGTTTCCTCTTCCTCCTCTCTTTTTTTTCTCTGTCATTCCATTAAAGCCTATTTTTGAGTGTGCTGTTCATTAAAGAGGACTCTTGCACGTCATTAAAGGGAAGTGGTTAATTAAAAGGGGGCCTCCCCTGCGGGACTCACATTAGCTCCATGTGTGTGGCTCTCTGGAAGGCAGGCGCACCGGTACGGACTCACACTAGTGTCACAGCTGTCTGCATGGCCATGGCACTCACACCTACGGGGACAAAGACACACAATTAGAAGCCACATCCTTCTGGAGAACCTTCATTGCTGTTCTTCTCATACATCTGATTGACTCTGGATTTACATTAATACAATAAACAGAAATAGGGTGAGATCGAAGAATTAGTTCAAAGAACAGGATGTGATGATAATGCAGATTATGTTTATATGATTTGAGTTAATTTTGCACTAAAATTGAAAGGATGCATTAAAGTATGCATGAAATAACAAAAATAACATGAACATTTTTTTTTTTTCCATGTTATATTTAACAAATTAAATGTGAAAAAAAAGGTATGCCAGAACATGATTTTATACAGTGGGAACTGACTGGCTGAAAAATAAAAGGGCTTGGTGAATTTTTTTATATATTATATTATATTATTATATTTTGATAAAAAAATTAACACGACAATCCTTTTTCCTTTCTCTTTTCTCTTTTTTTGTTGGAATAACATTCAATGACCATTTTAGGCCATATTAAGAAAAATCTCTCCGCCATATCCCTGCTGTAATTTTATGTTGACATGAAACTCGTCTGATGTCAAATGAGTTGCAGGAAGTGTCACCTCTATATATATATATAATCAATAGAACTTCTATAGTTGATTTAAACTTACATTTTTCTGTTCCATTTTAAGGCCTCTTGGAAATACATAGCAGGTTTCAACAAATCAACAGGGTTAGCAACATCAACGGCACCTGACAAAATCTTTCTCTTCCCTTGTCACATTCTCTAGATCTCTCTATCAGACTTTCATTCCTTCATTCTCTCTGTGCATGGTTAATAGGACGTTCACATTCAACATTTATAAATGCCAGTGGAAATATCATCTGCGTGTCGTAATGTACAACAGCAGACCTGACAGGTCTCCATCAGACGGAACACGCACCTGCAGGTCACCGCTTTAATTATTCATTCTCAAGGGCCCTTATTCGGCTCTCTCTAAAAGCAGCACCCTTCACCAACGTTACTCAAACAAACAACGTAACAAGCAAACAAGAGAGGAGGAGAGTAGAAAATAAAGAGGGTTGTCATTATTGCTGGAGGTTATTACCGTATGAGCACAAAGCAGACACTAATGCTCTCAGACACAGCTTGACACCCTGTCAGAATACCTCAAAGGCTGAATTTACGCACATTTTAGTCCCCAAACACACATACATCCTCTTCTCAGCCTCTTGCGGGTTTGAACTGTCAGTCTCCCTAAGGGGGTGAATCCACTACTGTTTACTCTCTGCCTTTGTTTCTCAGGCGAAGCTGTTGCGATATCTCAGAGAGTGAAAGAAGAGAGCCGTACAGGAAAAAAAAGAGAGAAAAGGTGGGGAGGACAGGGGACACCTCTGAATGTCAGAGGATGATGAGATTTCACAGTCTCTAAATCTCGATTTCGTCTGTGCCAGTTTAACTAGCTCTTAATTAAAGCTGCCTTCTCTCGCTCACTCAAGACACACTCGCACAGCGAGAGTGAGCCAAGTTACAGCTGCCTGCATAATGACATAATTACCATAGTCGTAAGAACAGTGGCTGTTTAATGTCTGAAGGTATACATGCATATAACACCATGTCTCGGCTTCTGAAGAGACAAAAGAACAGATTCAACATTCTTGAGAGACGCAGAAGAACATTTCAAGACTGATTAGCTGAAGCCTCCGAGAGAAAGAACACAAGTTCTGAAGTTTTCCTGCCAGTGATTTCCAAATGTGGTGCCCACACTGTAATTACAAGACCATTAACGGGAAGACAAGATATGTGTTAAACATGGCATTGCTCTCTGTGGTTAATAACAGACATGTCATCGAGCCCCTAGTTGTGTCAAACTAGCAAACATCATTTGTCTGCCATGTCCACTTGGTCTTGAACCTAAGAAGTCTTTCGCTTTCTCAAAGTCTGAATTATCCTGCCTTACACACCTACTGATTTTCTCATCAAACACAGAAATCCAATCAAATTATGGGGCAAAAAGGGGAGATTGTGTTGTGTGACAGTTGATTGGGGTTGACGGGTGTCAGGGTGCTGCTGGGCTCGGACCTGCCACTGATGGTGATCTCGTCCACGGCGTAGTAGCGATGACGGAAAGGAACCGCGGGATCTTGGGTGTGGTACTGGGCGTGGAGGTGGATTCTCACATGCGTGGCTCTTACAAATTCCTGCAGGGCGGCACTGTTGTAGAAGTCATTGTAGCCCGGTCGCAGGTTCGGCTCGGGTGTCAGCATGCTAAAGGTGATATTTCCGCGGGAGAAAGGTATGTTGCTGATACAAAAGACAGACAAAGAACACAAATTTAAGTTTGCAGTTGTTAAAAGAACATTCAGGTTGCCTTTGAAGCAGTGGTTCTCAACCAAAGGGCCAGGATCAACTAGGTGGACTCAGCACTCTTCCAGAGAGACCACAAAATTGGTTAAAATCAGACAAAATTAGTTAAAATTTGACAAAAAATTTGAAAAATGGCTAAACATATAGTATTTTTTTTTGTTTTAAAACCTGGGTACTCTATATGAAGGAGTTTTTCAATTGTAATTTCCAGACCAGAAAAGATAATGGAAAACTTTATAATGAATATTATTTTAAAAGGATATGCAAAGCTCTAAAATACTTTTCAGGCTGAAATAGCTATTTGTGAATAAAAAAAAAATAATAAAAAAATATCTTAATTTTTGGGTGAATGACCCCTTTAAAGTGATACAAACATAAAATGTACCCTATATTATCCAACTGACTAAAAAAGAAAGAGAAAAAGGAATAATATTCCTGCATCTTAAGCTTTGAGTGATTGAAAGAGAGAGATTTTCAAGTCTTGACAGGGTAACATGTTGTCAGGTTGAAAATGAAACGTGTCACAAGCTACTGAAATGAACAAACATCAAAGAAATTGGAAAAGCAAAGGTCTTTTCTTTGCATCTCAGAACTACTGAGAGGAAATTTCACTAAAACAGGTTTAAAATATAGTTTAGTGATATGGGGTTTCAAAGGGAGATTTCTCGAAGGGCAGAAATAAATGGGGTGAATTAGAGAGTTATCAAGGTCTTATCAGGGGGCAGGACAGGCTACATAGCCCCTACTGCATTATTCGCTCTCAAGAAAGATCCACAGAGCACTTCTGCATGTTTCAGCCCTAATACTTGTAGACTTAACCGGGACAAACCTGTGTGAGGAAAGTCTTTCGTCCCCATCTCTTTCTCCTCCATCTACCTGTGCTCTCTGTGTCTCTCTTTTCCCACATGCTCCGATGTGACATGTCTGAAGAGTCTAAGTGCAGACCCTTGCGCCACTGGCCTAAAGCTTTTGTTTGTAAACTAAAATATTCAGACAGGTAGTGAAACATCTGGCCAGTATGGCGTTCATCCAAACTGGACCAAACTTAGCAGGAGGTACAGCTAACATTTTAAACATATTCATCATGACCCAACTTAAAATGTAGTGTGATACAGTGATATACTAAATTAACTTTGATTAATTTTGTGATTCAAGAACATTGAAGAGTTCTTCAATAAAAACAACAGTTATTGAGGGGGAAAATTAATATGATTTTTTTCACAATTAGATTATTTTATTTTATTTTATTTTATTAATTAAAAGTATTAATTTAAATACTTTTAAAGGGGTCATATGATGTTGCTAAAAATAACATTATTTTGTGTATTTGTTGTAATGAAATTTGTTTTTTTGCGGTTTAAGGTTTAAACATCATCTATATAAAATAAATACAACTTCTGTGAAAAAAAACCCTCTTCAAATCTGTGTATTCAGTGAATGGACTTATTAACACTGCCCATTTTCTCCATATTTTAATGTTTCCACCTATCGTTTGCGGCTCTGAGATTCGTGGTCCAGCTATGAAATTACATAGGGACAAGCAATAGTAAATCAATGGGGGAGTATTTTCAAATGACAGAAAAATTGACCAATCATATCTTTCCTCTAAATGGGCGGGCCTTGTTATCACTAACTTTATGACAAGTTCCGCCCGCTGTGGGGATCTCTCAGGGAAAAAAAAATATATAGCTGATAAACAGCTGTAACGCATTACAAAAGTAATAATATTACAGTAGTATATTACTTTTTGCTGTAACACAGTAATATAACGCATTACTAATCAAATAATGGGTAATATTATTACTCGTTACAATCTCAGTAACGCAAGTTACAACAACATATTTTAACTCAAAATCAAGTGGTGAATTTACTAACACTGCAAAACAGCACCAGAGAAAAAATTCCACGGGTAAAATAGTTTGTCTATTTCCTGTTGCTGGAATTAGATGGTTGAGATGACTGCAGAGACGGATTCTACATTTGTGAGATGGACACACTCCTGTTATTTTCAGTTCATCGGAGAAAAGGATAAGAATGCATAGTCAGGTGCAATATGTGCGACACCAAACTCTCAACATGGAGAAATATCACGAGTAAAACCTGGAAACATCTGGACTGGTGCCACTAACACTAAGCTATCGGAGAGAGCTGCGGGGTCGGAGAAGTGAAAAAAAGATGGTGGACGAGCGCAGACAAGCAACAAAAATTAAGTTTAACTAAAAATAACAAAATCTGTTTTTATTAAATCATAGTCTTTATATAAAATGAATGAATATGCAAAATATTTGACTTAAAGGGGTCATATGATGCGATTTCAAGTTTTCCTTTCTCTTTGGAGTGTTACAAGCTGATTGTGCATAGATAAGATCCCTGAAGTTGCAAAGACTAAAGTCTCAAAACCAAAGAGATATTCTTTATCAAAGTTAAGACTCTGCCATGCCCCCCTAAAACGGCTCGTTCTAACACGCCCCCACATATCTACCTCACTATGTGGAAATATTAGCATAATGCCGCCCAAATGTTCACGCAAAGAAAGAAGGCGTCCAAGGAAAGGAAACCGAGATGACAGAAATAAAGTAAACACATTGCAGTTTCGAATGATCTGTATGACCAAAAATAACAGTATTTTTTGTTGTTTGTCGCACCGGCGCCTCACTCACACACATACAGCATTGCAAATGTTGCAGCCTGTTCATTATCAGAATAAAACAGTCAACCAAACATATAGATACACTGTTTAATTTGAATAGTGCGTAGCCTACTGCATAGTACAATCCATGCCGATCAGCCTGAGCTCGGGCCAAACACATATTTGCTCATGTGATGAGGATGTTTTTTAAGTGTGTTAACTAAGCTTGGTTTACATAATAAATAATAGTTTAGCATTCAAATACATCGCAAATATGGACACATTTAATTGGATTAATGCCGAATGAGAGATGTAGGCTGCACGAGAACGCCGTTTGCTTTCAGTTTCGCATTGAATTAGCCTAATTAATTTTGGCTTGTTTAGCAACTTATATTTTTCATTCTTGTTTTCTTCTAAAACCGTTCAAAATAGCCTATAGGCTAGGTATTGTGTTTATTGTTTGTACATGATAATATTTCGCTTTATTTACCGGTGTTATTTATGAATGTAATAATGCGATTTGTGCTTATATTTTTTTAACCTAAACTACAACGTAACATTAATGTAGACCTACATACTGGTATCTAAATATGATTTCATATATTTTATGCTATATAGACCTACCACATTACCCTCCACTGGATGTAGAATGAGCAGCAATAAACCACATTTTGGCATTTTATAATACTTCTGTGGCTATTTTGGTGAAAGTAACTCAACTCAAAAGTAGTGTAACGCATTACAATTCAGAGACAGTAATATTGTAATGTAACTAATTACTTTCAAAAGACAGTAACTAGTAATATACTGAATAATGTATTACATTTTGGAAGTAACTTGCCCAACACTGCTGATAAACTAATTAGCTATTATTCACGTCACGATGGAAGCCGCAAATAAGGTAAGTGAGGACATTTACTAGGCCGCTGAGCCAATAATAATATTATTTATTATAAACACTGCTTGTTTGTCATGAAGTTTCTGTCGCTAATTTGTTTTGTGTCAGCGCTTCATGATGTGTTGTCTTAAACACATTACATTTGTTGGTTTTGTGTGATGGGAGAGAGTGTCTGTACGTTTTGCCCGCTGAAGTGCAGATATTTGTAATGAGGATTTGCATCTGACTTAAATTTAGCTGTTTTATTTCGGTAATATCAGTCACTCTCGCTGTGCTGTTTTGTTGCGGTCGCATATCGGACAAGAAGCACAGTGGTGCCCCAGTGCAACACGCAGGGCCGTTTCTAGCCAATTTGACGCCCTAGGCGAAATCCCTATTGCCCCCCCCCCACCCACCCACCAAATATATATACTGTATAAAAAAATTTTCAGACACCAGTTGCTTGTCACATTCAAATTGGTTGTCATAGTAACGACAATAATTTGTGGAGATTCAGTGCATTGAGTTCCACAAATCTGAATGCATTATTTGTAAATTGACTGTTAAGATAAACATTTTGCACAATTTAGTATCTGTAATATCATTGTGTTACCACTAATCATTGTGTTACCACTTGTGTTTACACAAATCACACATAAATTAATTTTATTACATTTTGATTTGGATACGGACAAATCTGCCACAAATATTTGGGCAAATGAGCCACTAAAGTGCCACAAATACTGCCTAAACAAAATACTGATTTTGTGCACTTTATTTACTGTACCAATATTTTAAATTGGCCTTTGAACTTAGCTTTATTGCATGGCAAAAAAAAGTGTTACCTTGCCAAAGCACTGACAGAGCCCACTGATCTAACGGTGTTGTTGAGCGCTCCAAATGCAAACTTTGCATGCAACAATCAGGCAGTAATTGACAGCACTCTGATCTAGTGGCATACAGGCATCGTCAGATTGACAGTACTCTAGCCCAATAATGTTGGGGGATCCAGTGGGGGCAGTCATATTTCAGGGTGACCGTGCCACTCTTTATCACAACCCTGCTAAAAGTGCCAGTACGTGCGCTCATTGGCGTCCCTTCAGCTGGTGGCGCCCTAGGCAACCGCCTAGCTCGCCTATGCATAGAAACGGCCCTGGCAACACGTATCACACACTGAACGCGTCGCGTCAGCAAACAGGATGAGTAATTGCGATCTATAGCACAATGAATCACGGAATTTATTAGAGCCACAGATAGACAAAGTTTTGCTAAAAAATGCACAATACACAATCTTCCAACCTAGGATGAAGTCATTATGTACATTAACAATAATTTGGGACAAATATAATGTAATTTAATGGAAAATAATATGAGTGGCGCTGAGGCGCTCTGTGGCGAGGCAGGATTATGAACAGTGCCCGGGGTCGGGATCCGCGAACAGTCGCCGGTGGCGCAGCCGGTGTACATACAGTCATGGAAAACAATGTGTGGAAATTTTAAAGACGTGGTGCGGCACGGTGCAGGGCTGCACATGTCATCCGGAGTGCGACTGTCTTAAGTCTGGATAGCCTCTTGTTTTAGAGGTGGAATTGTCAAAGATGACTTTTAGAAGAAGACACCGTAAGCTGGTAGTTGGTAGACGAGGGTAGGGGGAGATGGCCTAGGCTCAAGAGTCACGGTTCGCTACTGGAAATGACAAACAACAAGCGCTACTCTACACTGCTCAAAACTCACGTTTGAATCGTCAGTGGCAAATTCGTTAAATATAAAAAAACTTACTTACTTACAGTCTGTGAGTCAGGACAGCCGGCATTGTAGTCTACTCTACCAGGATCAGGAAACAGTCCTCCATAAAATGCGCTGCACACATCTGAATATTTGGGTTGAATCTGGAACAGTGTTGTAAATACAACTTAACCACCGATTTCTAGTCGTGTCCTCTTTTGGAAGGCCAAACAAAGTAGTTTCACTTTTACAACGAAACACACAGCATCACACACGGCGAGCTAGAGTGAGCGGTGGCCGGAGGCCTAGAGTGAGGAATGGCTGGAGGGCTTGAGTGAGCGGCGGCGGGCAGGCTTGAGTGAGCGGCAGCCAGCGGCCTAGAGTGAGCGGAGGCCGGCTTAAGTGAGCGGCGGCGGGTGGGCTTGAGTGAGGAACGGCCGGCGGATTTGAGAACGGCGCGGCCGGCGGATTCGACGAAGGAGAGGCCGGCAGGCTTGCGGCAACCACATGTGACGACCGCGGGCTGGACTCCGCCTGGACTCCGCTAACTTTTGATATGACCCCTTGAAGAACCACTACTGTAGACATATACTTACACATTTAAATCAGTTAGAGTCTTTAACGTTTTTATTTATTTTATGGTCTACATTGGCTTGTTTCCTACTGTCCCAAAGCAACAGTTTAAATTTTATATTACTTTAAATTTCCCATGATTTGGAATATTACACTTGCAAAACATTTCTTGACTGACCATATATGACCAAACATGCTATACAGCAAAGCTCTTAGGTGCGCCAAACAATTGCCTAAACAACAAGGGAAATAATGTAAACAATGCTAATATCTAATTGTTTTATGTAATTCTTTGAAAAGCAGCTTCTTAATAGGCTTGCTGCGAAAGACGGTGTTTTCGGTTATACCGGTGTTAAGCCGCAACACCGGTTACGTCATTTGCCTACCGTGGGACCGCCCCCCACCGTCGTTTTGATTTTTTTATAGTAACAAAAATAATTTAACCTAGTTCAGTTTATCACATGAGGAGAGTGAACCGAGCTGACTGACAAGAGTGAGGTGAGAAAGACAAGACGATGCCAGAAGATTATTTAGAAAAAAAATGCAAAGGCGCCTGTTTGGCAATATTTTAGATTTTGAAAAGCCTATTGACTGGATGTTTTTTTTAAACATTTGTTTCTTATTTATTTGGTTCCACAGTGTTTGCCGATTACTTTATATAAACTTTGAGCATTTTATTTTATTTTACATCAAGGTGTATATGCCGTGCCTCCAAACTTTCTTATCCGTTTTGCTAATAAATGTTCTATGTTTCTTGTTATTTGGTTCTGCAGTGTTTGCTGATTTTCAGTTTTATATATCTATTTAAACTTTGTGTAGCCTAAGTCATTTGTTATTTTATTAGGCATATATATTGTATTTTTATTCATTTTGTTAATAAAAGTTCTATGAGTTTGACGCTGTTGTTGCTTGAATTGAATCAATGCCAAATTGCCGTTAATTTGAAAGTGAAAGTAAAATGCGCACGGCACTTTTTCAAGCTATTTGAAAGCCAAGAAATCAGAGGAAAAGAGGGAAAACTCAAACGAACTAACACCCCCCTCCCCAACGGTGATACCGGTATTACTGTGTTGTCACACGTCGATTAACCGGTGGGAAAATTTCCTCACCGTCACAACCATACTTCTAAACACAATTTAAAAATGACTTTCCTTCACTAATCATTTTGTGAGGGATTAATTATGCATGTTTAATGAGTAGTGTCAAAAAACTAAAAACATGAACTGTTACGATAACCCTCTCAGCCCAAACCCATAAAAATAACTGTCCTCATTTTCTCTTTCATATGCATGTGAAACCAGGTGCTTGTGTGGTCCATAACAGCTAAGTATCTCTGCTGTCTTGACTGCAGCCAAGGACAGCAGATATCAGATCTGAGCAGCCTGGACTGCAGCCAAGAGCAGCATTTTCCACCCCTTTCTCCTCCTAGATCCTCCAAAAGCTCACTAAACGACAATCCGCTGCTTTTATCAAAGTAGGAACTTGTCTCAACCCACTTTGATACAGCTTACCTGGCAGGAATCATTAGTTCAAGGACTGTTATCAGAGTCAGTAGCCTCTGGATGGCCTAACAGACACATAGAGACACAAGAGACACATACACTACCTGGGCAACTGTAGACAGTTTACAGAATCAGGACGTTCCAAAGGCCCGTTATCCTCCATTCCAAAATAGCTGCAGTTCTTGGCCAAGAACTGCCAGTCCTTCCATGCTGAGCTCTCAGTTGTCTTCCTTTGAATGTGGACTGCTTCAGGCTGAGCATTGAGGAACTGGAGTATCACGTAGAAAACCTGTAAAGGAAGCATGCAAAATTGACAGAGGGTGAAATATGCATGAAATACTAAACAGCAATGGATTATCTATTATCTGCACAGCAACAGTCAATGCTCCGCTGCCTCCTAAAGCACGCCGGCGCTTTGAAGAACAGCTTGAAGTGCCGCTTTACTCTTCCCTTTCTCCCTCTGTGGCTTCATTTTGAGGAGTTTGTCGAGAAACAGGTTGCAGCTTTGACTAAGTGGACACTTCAAAGTCTGTGTGGTGGTGTGTTTTATCTGGTATTGAGAGGAGAGACTGAGGCAGAGCTGCATAAATCCTCTATTTCTTTACAGCTGGACTCTCTGCTCGGCTTGGCTTAGCCACATGGATGACTGAGCAACTCACTCAGACACACACAAAATACTTTAGGTAGGCTTTAGTGTATTCAAATGGAAAAAATGCTACCCAGTGTCTGGATTTGAGAAAGCAGCCACACACAGACAATGTCAGGTTGAAGCTTACTTTAGATCAGTTGTTCTCAATCAAGGGGCTCTGCAACCTTTCAGGGGGCCCCCAATAAGTCTTAAAATGTTGATGTAGTAACAATTATAACTATAAAAAACTATAATTATAACTATTAAAAAACATAAAAAATAACGATGTACAACATTAAACTGACATTATACTTTTAAGGTTATTCATTTGTACATACATATAACTTGTTACATATCAGCTTAGATATGAGGGTCTAAATTAGGTTATATTGTCTTGTACAAAGTGGGGCCTTGGAGTCAAAATAGTTCAGAACCACTGCTTTAAACCATATAGTGTCTTGATGCTTCTTAAACTAAACTATTATGAAGCTAAACTAACTATAAAGCCTAATAATAATTTAGGTCTACTAACTTAGGTGAGCCAAGAGCCTGGTCCTGGAACAACATTCCCATAAAGCCACTTATTGGTGGCTATGTACCTGGTACTGTCCATTCTCCAGGTCTATACTGATCGTTATTCCTTTGTCCAGCAGCTCTAAAGTGGGAAAGATGGAGGAGATCCAGGTGGTTCCAATGTCATTGTCGTTGATGTAATGCAGGGGGTGGGCATCCTGGTTCAGACGGAGAACTTTGTTATGGGTGGTATCATTGGCTGCGTTGGGGATGCAGTACCTCTCCACTAGGGGGTGCACTTTGGGGTGGCTGGCAGGGCAGCGGCATGTTGACTGGGTGTGTAGGTGAGGAAATTGTCCAGTGTAAACCTCTTCAATCTCTCTGAAATACAGAAATGCATGGTTTAAAATTGTTCACATCTGCGTTTCTACACTGGTTTTGCTTCAGGACCCAGATTAAATATAGCACATCTCTGTAAAAACTACTTCTGCAGCTACACCTGATGTTAATACCCTGTGACCTAATACTTACCTGTTGGTTAACGTCTTTGGATAAAATCTAAAATCCTGCATCCTTCCAATTAATTGATTTGACCCTGAGGAGAAAAAGAAAGGAAAGTCAATGGGCGCTATTGAAGACGGTCTGCAGGATCCATAGCAACTAGTGGATTACCTTATCTGTGTCTTTATTTGAGTTAAAGAGACACTTGCTGCATGGTGGGATCTATTATGCTTATTTACAGATCTCTGTGACAGCTCTTTGGTCTTGGCCATGGTGGAGTTTGGAGTGTGACTGTTTGAGGTTGTGGACAGGTGTCTTTTATACTGATAACAAGTTCAAACAGATGCCATTAATACAGGTAACGAGTGGAGGACAGAGGAGCCTCTTAAAGAAGAAGTTACAGGTCTGTGAGAGCCAGAAATCTTGCTTGTTTGTAGGTGACCAAACACTTATTTTACCGAGGAATTTACCAATTAATTCTTTAAAAATCCTACAATGTGATTTTCTGGATTTGTTTTTCTCATTTTGTCTCTCATAGTTGAGGTATACCTATGATGAAAATTACAGGCCTCTCTCATCTTTTTAAGTGGGAGAACTTGCACAATTGGTGGCTGACTAAATACTTTTTTGCCCCACTGTATATAGTGCATTTCATTAATAAAAAAACACACACATTTATAAGGGATTTGTATGCATATAAGTATGCAAGAAATGCGAAGCCAAAGAAAAATTTAGCATGCATACATAATAATAAAAGCATTTCTTACAGACAACAATGATTCAACAAACCAGAGATTATTCAATATTAAACGACATAATTAAATAGATTTAAACTACCGATTAAAAGTTTGGGGTCTGTAAGTTTTTTTTTTTAATGTTTTTGAAAGAACTCTCTTATGTTCACTCAATGCATTTATTTGATCAAAAATACCGTAAAACAGTAATATTGTGAAATAAAGCATTATTACATTTTAAAATAACTTTTTTGTATTTTAAGACATTTTACAAAGTAATTTATTTCCGTGATGGCAAAGCTGAATTTTCAGCTGTCATTACTCCAGTCTTCAGTGTTACATGATCCTTCAGAAATCATTCTAAATCATGCTATCATAAAATTCTATTTGGTGCTCAAGTAAAATGTCTTTATTATCAATGTTGTAAACAGTCGTGCTGCTTAATATTTTTATGGAAACCATAATGCACATATGCTAAATATGGCCATCAAATTTAGAAATGCTGAAACTAAAAGATTCATTTAGAAATTTGTATTTTTATGTAAACATTTTCAAATGGCATGATGTTTGTCTGAACCAGCCTTTGTAAAAATTCCCTCTATGCTTTGTCCACATGTGTTGTTGTTCTACATGAATCAAACAAGCATTTCAGACCCCTGGGCTCTGGATGTAGAGTTTAAAATGTGTGCAAAATGGATTACACAGACTGCAACTTTCATGTGAAGCTGTTGTGTGTGAGCATGTTTGACAGTAAATGAGGCATGCTCTTTTTGAAGACTATATACAGTACAGTGGGTTGCTCCCTTGTACTTCTGTGCCATTTAGGAAATTAGAAACGAGCAGAACTGGTAATCAATCTACTGTGTCCTCTAAGAGATCTGGGCAGAATTATTGTTATTTTTGCAAACAAACACAATAATGTTGAGAATTAAAATGAATGCAGAGTGAACTTAAAGTAACTTTAGCAAGTCTATGCTATTTGTGAATGTGTATTCAAAACGTACTTATGTGTGTGTGTGTGTGTGTGTGTGTGTGTGCGTGCGTGTGTGTGTGTATGTGTATTTCATTCCCTGGGGGTATTACAGAAATCCCATCTCATCTCATTTATGAGGAGATTATTTGTTGCCATATGGTCACCCTTGACCTATATAAACTCCAACTATGATTAGTTGCAAGCTTATGAATATTTCTATAATGGAAAAATGTAACATGTCTTCAAATTAGTGTGTCCTTTTCCGCACTCAATTTGAGTTATAGGAAATTATGTGATTCTGAGGCGAAATACTGTTAGGTGAGGACAGCTGCAGCTTTGAAAAAAAAAAGTGAAGTCAAATCAAATATATAAATGTGCATAATAAAATCTGAAAGAGCAATGTAGGAGTACAGAAATCATTACCGTTAGAACTTGTACCGATCCACAGAGCCCCCTCTGAGGTGATGTCATCTACTGATCCTGCCAAGGTTTGTGTGTCCAAAGCTGTGCCATCATCCTCTTGACCATTCAGGAACAAGCTCACACTTGTGTCATGTATCTATGGATTCATTCGAAATAGGACAAATGAGTTACAAAATGCATGATTCAATCAATTTCTATAATATATATAATAAAAAATATATGGCTGCCAACATAAGAGAAATATTAGAGAAATACATTATACCCAATATTTGTGTGTGCCATGTATCATAGCAACATGCTAACACTTAACTCTTCTAGAGTCAGGGGTGTCTCCAAGTGGTGTATTATTTGTGTTGTGAAGAGTATTTCTCTATCGGTAAGGTTCCATGACATATAGGATGTCATGTAGGCAGCAAGGCAACAGACCTAATATTTAGTTTTTGTATGGCTGATGATTGTGGGTACTTTTCTCAGATAACACCCCTTCATCACATTCATATTTGCATGTTCTTTCACAGTCTCCTTTAAAAAAGGTGCATGGAAATAAATCAACTAAAAAATCCATAAGGATGAAGGCAGCGTTAGACTGGAGGATCCTTAAGCTGCTCTCTTTCATGGTCGCTGATTGAAAACTGTAGAGAGGCTATTCTTGAAATCTCTAACCGGCCAATAACATGCTGCTGAGATCTGAAGCAACGTCACAGTGATGTAAATGAATCCTGAAGTGCTTCTTCCCATTTACCAGCCCCACAGACTCTTGAAAGAGCTCTGGTGCTCCTTTTGTTGCTTTCCTAGTTTTTATTTCCTCTCCTCCTTCCATTCTAGTAACTGTTGCTTTGGGATAATATGGGGGTATTTTTTCCAACTGTATCATCAAAACTGTTCAAATTAATACAATGAAGTGTTTATAACATGGGATATTTAAGCAATATCACACAATTAAGAAGGTTGTGATACGGCCCAAACAGCACAAGTGTGATACTGTTTTTACCCAAACATTTCATAAAGTAATGTAAAGCAACTTGTGTTTCACACAAGTTTTTCAGCCAACAAAATGAGCTCCAAACAAAATCAAGCATCAAGCTTAATGTGACACCAAGCAACATAAAGACTGAAGGCAGCAACTGCAATATTTTCAGGTACAATCCAAGGAGAACTAAAATACCTGGAGAAATTAATCTGTTAGCATTCACATTCATAACTTCATGACAATGCTGATTGGCTGATAGCACCAAAAGAATGAAGTCGAATTCGCTAGTGCCATCCATTAGCTGTGATGTCCAAGCCAGCAAATAGAGAATAGGTTTTTGGTTAAATGACTAAAATAAGGTCTATGGTTAACACAAGCGCAATATATTTTTACATTTTATTCAACAACGTAAAATACATCAATAATTCCCCACTTGTGACTTTCAAAGAGTTCATATGTGTCTTGAAAAAGGCAATTGCTAACAAGTGGCTAAATGGGACTACAGAGGTTGTCTGGGACATTAAACATCATCATGCGAAACTCATCTACTCACACTTTTACAGCCTTTTTGTGTTTATACTCATACTATTTCAAACTATTCTTTTTCAAACATTCCAACTTGTAGATTCTAAATAAAGACTGAGAGTGTTGTTGGAAAGTTAGTGGTGGTGATGTTGAAATCGTGCAACTTTAGTTTTATAATTCTAGTATTTAGGCTTAAAAATTCAGAAGTCGTTCTTTTGTTAAGATTATCTTGATGAACAAAATGTAAGAATCATAAATTTTGGCTGATCACAGAGCTTATTTGCTGCAATAATCCAAGAGCCAATGGCCACATACAGTACACACTGCAGCACAATAAAGTTGTCACTGCTGAGTTCCTTTTTGAGTTTATCATTGCTTCAGGCTTATCAACACCTGTGTGTGTGCACTGGTTTGGGTGGTTTATGAGTACACAAATTTGTATAATGACATGGGTATGACACAGGTATTACAATATGAAGGTGGTTTATGAGGACACTACCTGTGTTCCCCTAATTCAAAAGGCTTAAAAAACATACTAAATTGTTTTTGTTTTTTTTTCTAAAAATGCACAAAATTTCCTGTGAGGGGTAGGTTTAGATGTAGGATTGGTGTAGGGCGATAGGAAATACAGTTTGTACAGTATAAAAACCATTACGCCTATGAAGAGTCCCCGTAAACCACCAACACCAGCATGCGTTTGTGTTTTAAGGTGGGGGAAGAAAAGTGTTTTTTTTTAAGTGTGTGATTTGAACTGCTTGTGTCCTAAGAGCATCACTTGGCCAGCTCATATTGTATTAAAATGCAAGTGTGTTGGTAGTGTGGGACTGGTCTGACCTGTCTGGAACGCTGCCTATGAGATCAAACCAGTGTGGAGCAGATTAATAACTGGCCGTTCTGTGGAGCTCTTAGTTACGTACTAATCAGCAGGTGCTGACATCTTAAAAGCTCCTCTCCGCTTTCAAATTGAAAAGGGAATATTTAATCTGCACAGGGATTTACCAGAATGTGCAACAAATTTATGCCATTATTTATATAACAATGGCTATTAAGCAAAGGTCCAACTAGAAGTAGAAACTCCTGAAACTAACATTTTTTCCCCAAAAGTATTGTGCCTTACATTAAGTAGCCACATAAATACATATTTTGGAAATGGTGGAAAAAGTATTTAATTAAACATTTTTCAGTTTTAAATCTGTGGGAAATGACAACGCTAAGAGTGTTGTAAGACACAACACCCTAAAAGCACTGAGCCAAAGGTGTAACTTAATCACTAGCTGACATTAAGAAATAGTAATACTACCTAACTGCTAAAGGTCTTCTGTCCATCAGCCTTGTAGAGGTGAATATTGAACAAATATTAGCTAGCGTTGTTGTTTTTTTACACATGGCAACACAAGATCTTTAAAAGGGTCACAAAATGAAAAAGCTAATAATTCTTCATCATTTAAAATAGAGTTTATGAACTGAAAACACAACTAAACATATATTTAAACTGAGTTGCAAAAACAGCTTGTTTTGGAAGGGTTTAGCACTTTAGACCATTTGCACTGAAATCCTGAGAAGGAAACAGATTATTACACTTTACATTAAACTCGACAGCAAACTCGCAGCCTGCACTTTGCCTTCAATGGTCTGAGAGAAAGCAAAAAAATGGTCAGGGAAAAACCAAATTATGGCTGTATTTGTAGAAAGAAACCTCTGTGAAAAAAATTAATAAACTAATAAAATATGACCGCTTTAAACTGAAGCAGACCATCTTACATGAGATTTATGAAATACTTAAAACCCTTTTTGTGTGTTAAAGGAAGACAATGTAGCCTCCAATTCTGTTCTAAGAAAACAACAGTGCACAATCTTTCTAAAATCTAACTGGGGGCTTTTTATATCAGCGATTTCATAATTCACACCAAAAACAATGTTGTGATCTTTGGGCTTGGACCATAAAGCAGGGGCAGATACAAGCTTAACCTGAAGCCAATTCGTCTGCAGCAGCGTGAGTGACAAACCATTCCATGATAAAGCCCTTTCCATTTCGGCACTGGAGGAGCTGTCAGGGCCTCTAGAAATATTCCACTCTGGATGAGGGTATCAGCGCAAGCAATCCTCCTCTTTTAATGCTGATACCTGCCGGAGCCCTGCCCTTCTATCTGAACACACACTCTCTCCCGCCACCTCATACACACTCACACATACATAACCGCCAACACATGAGATGTTTTATTTATGGCTTATAGCTAGGCCTCACTGTGATTCTTATCATTTAAATGAAGCAAAAAGGTTTTCCTATTTGTAATTTGTTGCATTATCACATGTTTCATAATGCACTGAGAGGCCAGTGTGGTGATGTGAAATATAACTATCACAGACAGGATGTTTGCAGTGCTGCTATTGATGCCGGGGCCTCTCTTCACTGTCCACCATTACAGTGCGAAGAAAACTGATGAAAAGCCAATTTTCCCTTTATCACATTAACGCAGCTATGAGAGAGAAACATTTGTTCTACTCAAGTACACTAAAGATACAATTACCAATCTCACATATACATGTTTAATATCAGCCTTCTTCCTCCTGCTGTGAGGATGGCAACAATATATTAAGACTAGTGTGACAATTTAAGAAAAGAAAATTGTCTCTGTGGAGCTGGAGAAGTCAGAAATATATAAGGCAATGTGTCAGTGCTTTTAATAAAGGAAGGCAATAACTCGAGAGGATATGCTTTACACAGAAAGCATATCTTGAGTTTTTTCCCCACTGTTCACTGTGTCCGAACAGAATAGGATTTATTTGTACTAACTAGGTTCTCTTACAATGTAATATTACTATAGTTCCTACAGTTATGGTTATGTGCCAGTAAAGGATGAGCCTCCTCACATAAAGAAAAATATTGAAAAAGTTTGCTTATGATGCCCTGTAAAATTCAGGGAGAGGATAAGTAGTTGTACCTTAATGATTAGTGGCATTTTGATTACACATTTCTAACAATAAATAAATATTTACCATATGTTCAAGCAATGTGCATTATAAAACAGCAAGTGCAATGAATATAATTGCAACTTTGACATTTTAAACTGAGAAATTAGCAAATATTCATAAACACCAGTGTCTGTAAGCATGTGGATGTTTTACTGGAAGCTGTTTGTTTTTTGACAGTATCATTTATTGGCCTTCCCACTGGGGTAATTGCTGATGCAGGAATATCTAGATTTGTGGTGAATTACAATATTTTTACATCAAGATAATGATTTCAAGTAGACTGTTTCTTGAAAACATGACATTTACAAGCAGTTTACAAGTGCAAATGTTCCTAATTGATCCGGTTGTCATTAAGGATATTAATCAAGCATGCTCTCTCACCAGTGAGCGAGGAAGGTGAATTCAGTGCAGCTTCAATGCAAGAATGGAAAGAGCAATGTCTACAAGTGATTTTCCTGTTATTTACCTTTTCTCTCATTTGTTTCTGACTTTGAAAATAATGGAAACACAAGGAGAACTAAAGCTATGGCTCATCTATGGATCAAAATGTTTAATTTCTCTGGGGAGCCATAGTGAAAAGGTAAGGTTTAAGACAACCCACCAGCAATAAATAATGTATACATTTCCTTTGGAAAAAAATATTTTGAGATGATGTTCATGTTTTTGCT